TCAATTCATTTGCTGGAAAACAGCATACATGGGGAGGGTTGTTCAGCTGGTTAAAATGTGCAAAGGAAAATTTAAACCAACCGGGGTGTTACTGTCGCACGCACTGGGCACTGAAACAGTTAAACAGTGGAACATCCTACTTCACTTCTTGAGAGTTAATGATGCTTGAAAACAATGTTAGCCTTGTATCATTTTTTATCATCAAGGACTAGGCAACCCAGTTTATGAAAATGAATATATACTCATTTTGTATTTCTCTTAATGAGAAAATGATTAACCTACAAAGGGAGCATTTGCTTGTTCTTTAAATGAAGAATTGATGGAAAAACTTTCCACAGTTTTAGTCAGAATTTACTTAGAAATAAAACAATCACTGAAAAGGGCTATTCATAAGCTAATGAATAGTAGAAAAGCAAAATACTTTGCAATACTAAAGGCTTTTATTGGCACTTTTCATCTGTTATGAGTGTAGGCACTAATATCACACTTTATGTCGAAAGCACAGCTTAACTGAGTACAGCCTGATGATACAAAGAGATTTGCTCACAGCTCAGGCTGGAACAGCGAGGTAAGAATTTTGCAATTACTTATTATCCACTGAAGTCTAACCAATAAATCTTACTACTATTTTAGAAATTGTTTTCTATGACCAGCAGTTCGGTAGGAATTGGATGGTGGAAGTGTAAGTAGTGCTTGAAAGTGTTGGTCACCTAAAGGTGCTTACAGCTAGAGCAGAGCTTTTGCATGGCTACAAAGATGAAGAAGCTCTGGTGCTGGAATGTGATGGCAGCCGTGGTTGCAATGAGATTGCAAAGCTTTCAGTCCTGCAGGAAGCGAGCAAGGCAAACGGTAGAACTGCAGCTTCATTCTTCAATGCAAGAGTTGTCCTCCAAAATCATGGTATACTAGAAGGGCTGAAGTTCCTCTTTAGTAAGGCAGTGGAAAAGACAGTGTTTTAGACTCAAGTGAGTCAGTTCAACACGGAAATAACTGCATGGAATGCACCAGTTCTGCACACACAAACGAGGTACAAGGATCTAATTTCCTATTCTGTGAATATGAAACAAAATGTATCGCAGAGACCAGTGCACAGCCTTTCTCATCCAGAACAAGGATCTTTAATGTAATCCTATTTCTTAGTTCAGCTGATTTATATAGATGTCCCCCTGCAGGGATAGTTTCTGAGAAAGGAATAAGGCATTTCATCACGTGTCTACATTTTGTCTGGACTGCTCTTGGTGAATAAATGTTTCAGGTTTTGGCAGGTTGCACCACATAAAACACTGGTGTGGCAGCACACAGTGAGGATCAGTGAGCTGGAGGAAAGGGTGCTGTGTTAGAAGCTGTCACCTGCATAGGATACATGTCCAAGGCCATCTGTTGTACTAACAATGATAAAAGCATAGGCTGTGCTTAGGGATATTGCCCAGTCACATGTAGAAAAGGTTTAAGTAACTGTTACATCCACAAACCAGATGAATGCATTCACCTCATTATACTAAAATATACTTTATTAATAAGTAACAAAATAATTTTCCTGTTATCAATTAAAAGTTAAACAGGATTTGCACAGAAACACTTTTTGTAAGTTACTGTACACACCTGTACATCTGAGCTCCACGTTTTCCTAAATCTTGCTATAACGTGTCTGAAAATGAGACCAAGATTGCAACATCCTATTGCAAAGGACAAACACGGAATTCTATCAACTTCTTTTGCGCATCTACAAATCTTGAGCATTTTTTCCTCACTGAGAAGCTGTGAATTTCTGTGGGTTTGGAGTACATCACTGCTATGAAGCATGTCACCTACATCTTCCCACTTATACCTTCTGACAAAATTTTTCCATCCAATCAGCAAAAGGCTTAAAAACAGTAAAGCACAGTATTCAGCTTAGCAACAGGCATATGAGAAACCCTATTCCAGATCTGCCATTACCTCTAACATTTTTTCATTTGCATCTCTCAGCTGCAAGCCTGTGAGTACAGAGACCTATCTTGCTTGCTCTGGCTAGACACTGCAAAAATAAAGATCTAGATGATTGTGCAACCCAAGCTTCACACAGGCTGCACACTTTGCCCCAGTCTCTCCTGAGGGCAGCTGTACAACAAACTCTGCTGTCTGCTATACATTTTTATCTTCCCATTAAATTATACAGCTATATAGTTTCCTGATGCGCTAAACCTGAACTTCAGGCTTCTAGTAGAGCTAGAAGCCTAGCAGACAATGATGCACATCATTGCTGTAGCCCAGAGGCATGAATTCATTCTTCATCTTTTTCCCCATAAAATTTGTGTGGGTTACTTCTGAGTTGGCATTTCACTGGGATTTTGCTTGTGCTGTAGTTGTGTCACTCTCCTGCTGGTACATGTAATTTTACCCTGCTTCTTGAGTTGTCCTCTGAAGCTGCTCTCAACTTCTTCAGAGATTCTGCAGGCAGTAAACTTCTGCTTTCTCTCTGGGTATCAATGTTGTCACTGACATATCACAACTGCTGGAGAAAACACCTGACCTGCCACAGGGTAACAGGTAGTCCAGGCAGAGCCAGGGCCAGAGTTTATGAAAGTCCTGTCTTCACTCGTCTGTGCTATCACACAAGTGAATACAGGAAGTGAACATCATTTCTACCTCTGCTACAGCCAGTAAAAATCCAGATCGCCCACAGACAGCAAATAACCAAAGGATGGTGTCATAAAGCCTCCTATTTCCACTACAAATTCCTCAGTAGAACAAAAACTGTTCCAGCCACAGTATGTTAGGGTGAGCAGTCTGACAACAGGAGGTGAGGAACAAATAAAAGCATAAAACCCCAGTCAAATACAATTATTCTTTGAGGAAGAAGCAGACTTGGAAGCAAAAGACAGGACCAGCAGAGACCTGCTGAAATGTTCCAGTACAGGGCAGGGCTACATACATGGGTCTACCTACCGTTCCAACATCTTACCTGCTTCTGTCAAACCTTGACAAAGCTTGAAATATGAATTCAAGGAATGATGAACAGAACCACATTCAACAATAAGGTAATGAAATATTCTTCTAATTTCACTTTTACATACATCCCAATGATAACTGTCACCTGTACAGCATTATGGCAACAGAAACTGTTATGGCCAAAATAAATGCATTTAAATCCTCAGTACCTCTCACTAAAACATAACAAACAAGCAAGAAACCTCTGGAACTAAAGAGATTCCTCTGTTTGACAGTCTTGTGCTTTTTTGTCAGGAGATGCTGCAGTATTACATGAAATACAGAATTACTGAGTAATTTATATTACTCATATTTATATTATTTATTATTTATTATATCAGTAATTTATAAACAGCACAAGCTTTGAATGAAAAAGGGAAAGCCACCTTCTCAAATGATCCTATCACTTCCCAAGGAGACTGTCAGTCTTAGAAGGAGTAAGATTCCCATTTCAGAAAATACATCGTACAGAGAAGAACTGGGGTGGTTGCTTCTTCTTTCCTTTTTATGTTTTTTTTTTTTTTTTTTCTTTTTTTCTTTTTTAATGTTAATACTCACTTAAGGAACAGATCTGGAGTAATTATTAAAATTCACATAAGAAAATACCTAGATAACAGTTTGCATTTGGATAGCAGTGAAGAAGTGATTTGGAGAGCTCTAAAGATCCTCAGTCTTCCCATTGTTTCCAAAATAGTGAGGCAAGCAGCAATAAAAAACAAACAAAAAAACCAACCAACCAAACAAAGAACTTTAACAACTTACTACAGCAACTGGGTCATTGGCAATGATTAAAATGTGTTTGGGATTTATTTGATTGTGAAAAAGCAACCACTGAAGTCTTAATTCAGTTCCAGATAAGTGCCTAGAACTGCCTCACAAGACTACCACTGTTCTGCACTGAAATTTCTAAGTAAGATTTTGCATGAATTGCAAAACATGCTATTAAAATAACATTTACTAGAAGCTATGTTAAGGCACAGATGAGATAAAGAGGTGATTCGAGACAGCCAGCATGGCTTCACCCAGGGCACATCGTGCCTGACCAATCTGGTGGCCTTCTATGATGGAGTGATGACTTCTGTGGAAAGGGGAAGGGCAGTGGATGTCATCTACTTGGACTTCTGTAAAGCCTGTGATGTGGTCCCTCACCACATCCTTCTCTCTAAACTGGAGAGATACGGATTTGAAGGATGGACCGTTGGATGGATGTTGGCTAGTTGCAGCCACAGGGCTGTGATCAATGGTTCTGTGTCAGGTGCAGGCTGGTCACAAGCGGTGTCCCTCAGGGGTCGGTCTTGGGACCGGTGCTCTTCAGCATCTTCATCAATGACAGATGATGGCATCGAGTGCAGCCTCAGCAAGTTTGCAGATGGCCCCAAGCTGAGCGGTGCAGTCGATGCATTGGAGGGAAGGGAAGCATCCAGAGGGACCTGGGCAGGATGGAGAAGTGGCCATGTGAACCTAATGAGGTTCAATGAGGCCAAGTGCAGGGTGCTGCATTGGGTCGGGGCAATCCCAAGTATTGATACAGACTGAGGGAAGATCTCCTTGAGAGCAGCCCTGCGCAGAAGGACTTGGGGTCCTGGTGGACGAGAAGCTGGCCATGAGCCAGCCACTGAGACAATCAAAGTGCTGGAGCACCTCTCCTATGAGGAAAGGTTGAGGGAACTGGGCTTGTTTAGCTTGGAGAAAACAAGGATCCAGGGAGACCTCACTGTGGCCTTCCAGTACTTGAAGGCAGCATATAAACAGGAGGGGAACGGCTTTTTACAGGGTGGATAGTGATAGGATAAGGGGGAATTGGATTAAGGGGGATAAGGGAGATAGGGGAGGTTTAGGTTGGATATTAGGAGGCAGTTTTTCACCCAGAGGGTGGTGATGCACTGGAACAGGTTGCCCAAGGAGGCTGTGGATGCCCCATCCCTGCAGGCATTCAAGGCCAGGCTGGATGTGACTCTGGGTAGCCTGGGCTGCTGGTTGGTGACCTGCACATAGCAGGGGGTTGGAACTAGATGAGCATTGTGCTCCTTTGCAACCCAGGCCATTCTATGATTCTACAACAATCTAAAAATTAATCGTGCTCTCTGTAGTTTGTTTCTTCATGAAGAACAACATTCTCACACCATACTGATGGTTTAGCCTCATGCCTCTGTTCTACTGCAAGACACCCAACATCTCCCTATCCTCCCTGTTTCACACAGCAGTTCTTCCAGAACAAATCCCTGTCTCATCTTCCTCATGGCAGAACCATTCCTGATCACAAACACCATTCTCACCTTCCATGCGTGAACCATCTCTCAACTACTCACTCAAAACGGGTTTTGCAGGTGAAGGAAGAGAAGCAATTCAAGCACGCCATCAGGCTTGAACATCCTTGTATCTTGCACATATAGGTAGGCTCCCTGGCCTGTACTTTCCCTTTTCTTGAATACTGTGTTCATCACGTTTATCACCATTTAATTGTTTATAAATAGAGACTAAAATATTTTGAATGGATGTGGAAGTGTTTTCATTTTTTTCTACTTGCAAGTGACCACTCATTTTGAGTAACAACTGTCATTACTGCTGCTGAATAGTAATAGAGTAGTAATGTAAGCATAATCATTCTGCTTACTACAACAGTAAGCCGCCACATACTGGGTAAAAAAACAAAAAAAAAAACAGAGTCTAGCCTCCCATCTCTTGATTATCCACCTTCACCAAGAAGGAATGGAGTAACACAACATTTAACAAAACTAAGTTAAATGCAGAATTACAAAAATTAGTGCATTTGTTAATGTCGTGGAATAGGACAAGAAACCCATTTCAACTCCAGAGATCAAATAAATTAAAAAGAAAGGATAAAACATCTATCATGGATTCAGTGAAAAACTGAAATAACAGACTAGTCTTGAGATCATAAGCAGATTATCTCTTTGTACAGAGGGCAATAGGCTGCTCAGTAGTTCTTTGTATAGGTGACTTTGCCAGGTGGGATCCACGGAAAAGGCACTTCATTCCAATGCACAACACGGAAGTTCTTCTGCTTCTTCTGAAGTTGCTCTCTCCTCAACACGTTTCCCTGAGAATAAAACATTATGTCAAATAAAAGAACTCTAGGGCAATTGAAAAGTCAGAATTATTGCTGCATCTTTCACGTGAAGTTGATTTGCCATTTAGAGCTTCACACATCCCTCTAAGGACTCAGCAGCCACGCACACTGCGCAATGAAACACAGAGGCACTGTAACATGTGATGTTATTTGCAGGTGAAGTGACAGTCTCAGGGATGAGATGGCTTTGTGTGCCTTCTAAACAAAAAAGACAAGAGAAGGCCTGGTGAATTAAGTACTATGTCTGTCTTGAATTGTGGCAATTGGACAGACCAATACAATAGGAAAGGCATTACAACAAAGGTGTGATTACAAAAGGCACAACAGAGAGGTGCCATAAAGGAAGGAGACTTCTCAACCATATCAGAACATTCTAGGTTTGCAGGGAAAAGCTTAACTAAGGAATGATCTTCAGAAAGAGATCCTTCCCCAGTGGCAGTCAGCCCTTAAATGGGGTCTACGAGACATGCAGCCAGGCTGCACCCCTTCCAGTCACACAGCTGAACTGCCTTCACCTGAGCTCCCAGGGCTGACCCAGTCCTTTCCCAGGTGATCAATCAGTGCTTCAGGCTGTGCCTCAACAGTTCCCATACACTGTACCCTTCACAGCATGGACCAATGACTGAGCCAGCTGGAGGGTGAGCCTTCCCTAAAACAGGGATCCTAACACACAATTGCAGGTTGACACAGTGTAAGACAGTTGATTATTGGTTTGTGGTTGGGGTTCATGTTCTCCCATGGGCCAGTGCTTGATGGTGTTACTGGAGGCACGCAGTTGTTTGCTGCAGGTCCATCCTATGTTCCATCAGTCCCACATAGCCCATTACCAGATGTCATGCTCTCACAATGACAGTGGAATGCTTCGATGACATTTTGCTCCTTCCTGTCATCCTAGAGTCTTCCAAAGGCTCACAGAGAGTAGTACAGATGTTTCAGAGGTACCAGAAGGGGAAGGTCTGCCCTCCAGGGCAAAGTACAGGCTGTATTCCTATCCCGGGTCAACACTTCAGCTTACACTGGGGATGTCCCAGCCACCTGTACCACACCATTGGCCAGATATCTGTGGCTCATAACTGTATCAGGCACCAAAGGGGGTCCTGATCTGCCACAGGGACATGATGAGGGGCCCTTAGCAATGAAGACCAGGGTGCTGACCACAACGACTGCAGGCCATGTACCGATTACCAGGCAAATGACTGATTTCCCAACCTTCAACAGTCTCCCGCAAGGCACAAGTGGGCCACACCATTTTGGTCCTACTTGCACCTTCCAAGGCCATTTTGTTGGTGCCAGTCTATGGGTACCTGGTTCTAGATTCTCAGGGACAGAAGCAGAAGGTTATTTTCATTGCCCATTTGGGGTCTTACCCAACCATTGGTGCCCGTAATTTGGATTCTAAGCAGGGAAGCCCATGTTGTCTGTAGCACTTTCAGGGCACTGGGTCTGCTGTCTCTAGTGCTTTCAATCAATCATCCTGTATCTTTCTTCTGCTCCATCCCAGACCTGAAACCAAAACCCAACGGGGGTCCAAACAGAACTCTGGCATTGCCACAGGCCCCAGCCAAACCCATCATGAGTTACATGGACTTCTAGTTCGGCTGGAAGGATGGGATCAAATACACCCAATGCCTGGCCTTGTTTAACTGCCAGTTTGATCTGTTGGAAAGCCTCTTGTTTCATTCTCCCCCAGTTGCCCCTTTTTCATGAATCTGTATAATGGTCTCAGCAGCTGCACTAAATGTGGTATAAAGGAACACCAATACCCCAACATACCTAAGAACTCCTGCAGCTGCTTTGGTGTTGTAGGGGCTGGGAATGCCTGAACCTTATCTGTTACAGCACCGGGCAGTACTTTGGTCTTTCCTGACCAAACTGCCCCCAGGAATTTCACAGGCAGGCCCGGACCTTGCACCTTCTGAGGATTTATAGCCCATGCTCTTCCAGTCAATGAATCTGCCACCTGTCCTACTGCCTCCAGTGAGTCAGATGTCAACAAGAGATCATCAGCATAATATATAAGCTAACATTATTAGGTTTTTCCCAATTAGCCAGGTCACACACCAGGTTATGGCAATACGTTGGTGCATGCACGTACCCCTGTGGCAGGACCTGAAAGGTCCACTGCCTGCCTCCCCACGTAAACACAAACTGGTCTTGTGATTCGTCAGCAACTGGGATACTGAAGAATGCATTTGCCAAATCTAGGACACAGTGATTGGTTTTTATCTCAATGAGTCCATTAAGGAGGCAATATTAGGTATGGCCACACAAACAGGCAGTGTGACCTTATTTAATTCTCTATAATCTACTGTCATTCTCCATATTCCATCTTTCACACTGGCCATATGGAAGAATTATATGGGCTACGTGCAGGTCTTACAAACCCAACTTCCTGCTGAAAGGGTATGTGCATTCACCAACCTACAGTCATAACTTAGTGGCACATGACCTTAGCAGAGTGGAATAATCATAACAACATAAAACTGTACCACTATATTGCTGATCTCCTGTTGACAATTGACTCACTGGAGGCATTAGAAAAGGTGGCAGACTCATTGACTACTCCTTTGCAAAAGGAAGGGTAGGCTATAAACCCACAAAAAGTGCAAGGACCAGGCTTGTCGTTGAAATTTCTGGCTGTAGTTTGGTTAGGAAAGACCAAAGTACTATCTAGTGAAATAACAGACAAGGTTCTGGCGTTTCAAGTCCCCACCATGCCAAGGCAGTTGCATGAATTGTTGGGTATATTAAGATACTGGTGTTCCTTTATACCCCATCCAGTGCAGCTGCTGAGGCCTTTGTATTGACTCATGAAGAAAGGACAAAAATAGGACTGGGGGAGAACAGAAGAAGCATTCCAGAAAGCAATGGAGACACTGGATATATTCGATTCCACCCTTCCAGCTAAACTAGATGTCTGTGTAAGTCAGGATGGCATCAGCTGGGGCCTATGGCAGCGTCAAAATTCCATTTGAACCTCAGCTGGGTTCTGGTCTCAGGTTTGGCATGGGTCACCTATCTTAGCCAGAGGGGCAGTCTGTCTTCATCACCACTGAAAGAAGAACTCCAGAAGATCCTAGGCCCAGTGACGTATCACAGTGATGCACCAAAAGAAACATTGGCTGCTCCACCAGAGAAGAGTCCCATTCAGGATGGGAAATATCTCATTCCTGAAGATGCCTGGTACATGGATGGGTCCAGCAAGGGCAACCCGAGCAAGTGGAGAGCAATAGCGTACCATCCCTCCACTGAAGTGATCTGGTGTAAAGAGGGGGATGGTCAGAGCAGCCAATGGGCAGAACTGCGAGCCATGTGGATGGTTATAGCCAAGGAACCTGGTGATGGTATCCTGAATATCTGTACAAATAGCTGGGTTGTGCATCAGGGCCTCACACTTTGGATTGCACAGTGGGCCACCCAGGAATGGACTATCCATGCCTGAGCAATCCAGAACAGAGATATGAGATTTGACACATGGCACATGATTAAACACAAGACCATGTATGTCTACCACACTTCTGGTCACCAACCCCTTCAGTCACAGGGAAATGATGAAGCTGACACACAGGCCCAAATGTGATGGGTTGAGAATTCACCAATTCATTCTGAGAACACCGCACTCTGGTTACATGGCCTGCAAATATCATGCTCAACACTCCAGTTTTCATCACTAAGGGAACCTTAATTATGCCCCTGTGGCAAATCTGGACTTCTCCTTTGGTACCCGATATAGGTGTGCATCCTCAGATATCAAGCCAAAGGGTACAGATGGCTGGGACATGCCCCAGTGCAAGCCAAGGTGCTGACCCAGGATAGAAATGGGAACTGTATCTTGCTGTGGAGGGCAGACCTAACCTTCTGGTATGTCTGAAACATCTGTGCTACTCCCTGTGAGTCTCTTTGTGTCCACAGGATCAGCAGGATGAGCAACATGACATCAAGATGCTCCAATCTCACTATAAGATCAGTGTGACACCTGGTGGTGGACTATACGGGACTGACGGAATGTGAGCCGAACCTTCTGTGGTCCAAGCAACAATATGCCACCAGGAGAACCACTGAGTACGAGCCCTCAAAGGAGGACTGAAACAGTCATTGAGCTCCTGGTGGGAAGGGAGGGCCAACTCAGGAGCTCAGGTGTATGCAGTGCACCTGAGTGACTGCAAGGGGGGGCAACAGGATCTACCCCTTCCCAGATCTCATTTGAGGGTTGGCAGTGGAGGTGAGGGCATCTCTTGCTGGAGATCCCTGCCTACCTGAGGCTTTCCAAAGGTAAGCAGCTTTGTTTGCATTTTTGCTGCTGCTGTATTTGGGCTTATTCTCATTTGCTGTAGCCATACTTTTGTCATTCTGCCTTCTATCCCATTATATCATTACTCCTGCAAATTCCTAAGATCACAGACTCTTAAAGGTTGGAAAACACCTTTAGAGGTCATCTAGTCCAGCTCCCTGTTAAAACTAGAGCAGACTGCACAGGAAAGTGACTTTTTTTTTCTGTTAGTTATACTGAGAAGACAAATAGTGAGATGAGGGAATAGACAGGTAGATGGGCATAGACATGTTATTGTGAAAGAGGGTGCTAGAGAGGAATCTTTCATTAAAACTTACTAATACTAGCTATACTTGTGTTATGTACAAAAAATAAGCGTTTAAAGTGCTCTGAAATATCAGCTCTGTTGCTAGTGCTTTTAACCTGTGATCTCCAGGTTTTTGTTTAGGTGAATCTTAAGATCCAATTCAATTAAGAATACCTGGTCTGGCTAAACCAGCACACAATTATTTCATGTTATTACTAGTGAAACTGATCATAAGCAAGGCCAGGTTTGTATGAAGTAATATCGTTTACTAAAACTAGCAATACAGAACAGTTAATCTATTAAATAGTATTATATCTGTAGAACTGTATCTTCCTGGACTGTAAGGGTCAAGTACAACAAACTGGGCTCAGTGAGCACTGTAAGATTCTGATTCTTTTCTACCATCCTGAACTTTTGTCTCCCTCCCCTTTAAAAGGTATCCCACACCTATACAGCTGCTGTCTGTCTCAGTTGTTAAATAAGCCCAGTCAAAAAAAGAAAAAACACTGAAATCCTATTTGAGACTCTGGAAAAGGATTCCTTTTTAGGCTATTGATGGTGCAAGTGAGCTGCAAGGACCTTACACCAGCTGAGCTGCAAGATGCCATTCTTATGAATGGGAACAGTGCCCTTACACATAAACTATGCCACAAATCACAAGGAAGTAAGACAACACAAGAAATGCTTTAAAAAAAAACAAACCCTTAGAAGTCAACATGCTGAATGTCTGTGCCATAGAGCAAGCATGGAAAAAGCAGGTATTTGTTTAACCAGCAAATCATACAACTGTCAAGAAAACGGTTTATGCTAAGAATATCAGCAAACTCTCCTGGTTTGTATAAGGAAAACCGTATTTCCTTAATGTGGGGATTAATTTAAAGCTTAACAACTTGGACTGAAGTTTGCTGATGCAGGGAAAACATAAATGGCAGCATTAGTTTCATGGTTTCTAGTCAATGAAGATCTCAAACTTTAGTAAAATGGCTTTTGTCCATTTTGTGACACGGAATTCTCCACTTCAAATGTTTTCTCAAATGTAAGTGCATACACTGTTACAACTGGTAGTGCTGCTGGGTTTTGCTGGTTTTGTGAGCAAGCCCTTCAGAGATGGCTGCTCCTGACTGTATGGGAACTGCTGGGTCACAGCCTGAAGGTGAAGGCAATTCTCCTGTGCTGCCGGAAGGGGTGGAACCTGGCTGCACCCCTCCTAGACCTATTTAAGAGCTGGCTACCAGTGGGGAAGGATCTCTTCTAGAGATCACCTCTATTGGTGTTTTGTGAGTGAGCCCAGGATAGGGGTAAGCCTTCTATTTATTCTCTTTTGTTGTCATAGTGTGCTTTGCCTAACTCTCTTGTTTATTTTGTGGTTATAACAGCCTAATATTCTTTGATTATACACTGACAAAGAATAGAAGAAAATACTATGGAATGCAAAACTCCAAGTCACATGAGTAGGGAAAATAGATTTTTCATATAAGCTAAAGTTCCAGCACATCATACTTAATTATTTTGTTCAAGAAGTTTCGGGGACTAGCTATGTGATACTGCCATCATCTGGTCTCTCCCTGTAACACTACAAAAAAAACCAGGAACACTAAAATGCAAAGTATTCACCCTCATTACTACATTCATTTCTTTCATTTTTATACAGTGTAAAACACTTATAAATTACCAGCCATCTTTCGTATTCTTCTCTGGCCATTTTATCTTTTTCATCCTTCTCTGCCTGTTGTATTTCTTTTTTTCTTCTCTCTCTGACTTTTTCTGCCTTCTTCTGTTTCATGTACTCCTTTTTTTTATCATTCCTGTGAAAAGGATGAACAGGAAATCTTTTTTCAACAATCTAAATGCCATATCTGTGACCAGTTAACTAAATTGATTTCAGAGAGCTATTTTACGCACTTAATAGCAGATTAACAACAAACATATGTAAAATCTTCGATGCCCATCTTCAGGCATATCACCAAGATATACGTAGCTTGCTCTGAAAGTAATACCTCCTATTTATTTCCATGGAATCAGCAGTTACTGTTGAGTCACAGCCTGAACCACTGATTGAGCACCTGGGAAAGGACCCAGTCAGCCCTGAGAGCTCAAATGAAGGCAATTCAGCTGTGTGACCAGAAAGGGTGAAGCCTGGTTGCACCTCTCTTACACCCCATTTAAGGGCTGACTGCCACCTGGGAAGGACCTCTGGTTGGAGATCCCTCCCTTGTGCAGTCTTTCCTGTGAGCCTAGATCTTTGGAGATATGTGAGCACCTTTATTTTTCCTTTCTAACACCATTCCATCTGCACTAGCCCCCTTGCTGTTACACTCCTGTATCAACCTTCTACTGCATTAACCTTTCCAATTGTAACAGATACAAAAAAGCACAATCACTATTGGATACAGCTGCAGAATGCTATTTAGTAACACAGTCACCACCATTAGCCAACTGGTGCAGATGAGCTGACTGAGATGCTATTCACTCTGTGGTGTGACAGTTGTGCAGGGCTGTCCAGAACGTGGCTTGTCTTTTACAATGCTATTGCCATGGCTGAAACACACCACCTGCCACTCACTGTGCCCACATCCAGTGTTTGGTCACTGGGTGCCATTTTTTCCTCATGGAGGAATTCAGTGACATACCTCTGCTTCATGCACACTTTCATGTCAGATGCCATTTTGTCAGACTGCCCCTCTGCTGCCATCTGTCACACAGCAACAACATGTAATGATATATTGGTGGGAACATTCAAGCTCTACTGCCATACCACTGGCATAAACTTCTGACTTTGCTGGCCAACACACTAAAATAGGAGGCATTACTTTAAGAGCAGTCCTCATACATGAACTTAATCTTTTACCTATTATGATATCATCTTATCTATACCACTTTCTTTCTTATGTTACCATATAAAAATAGATTTAAAAGTTGTGCAGGTAATAGTAAGTTGTCCATGTAAGTCTCTGAAGACTCCTGGCTTCTAAAACTAACAAAGAGTTTCTCTAGCAGATGCATCTTGTTTGTTTTTGAGTACACCTACATTCATATGCTGTACTACAAAAGCTTTATGAAAGACCCACCTCCCTTCCCATTACTTAGTAATGAAGCACGATGCTAGTCATATAAGACTTAACACTATGTCAATCCTACTTATCAGTTGCTGTATCTCTGCCAGGGCTGAGGCAGCTGCCTTTTGGGGAAGAAAGAGTCTAAGTTACTAAACTGAAAGAAGCCACAGGCTGTTCTCACAGCTGTGCTTATTAGCTCTGAGTGAAAAGCTTGCTCCCAACCATGCCACTGTTCCTCAGTCAACAGCGTATCAAACACTACAGGCAACCTGTTCAGCAAAATTTTGGACACTGATTTGGACAAAGCCCTAAAGGAGGTACCATTTTTCAACTGCTGATATGCTGTCTCTTTTCTTTTCTGCAGCTAATTCCTCTTCTTTCTTCTTCCTGATTCTTTCAGACTGTTCTTCCTGTCTGCCTTTCTCTCTCAAATATTCTGTTTTTTTCTCTTTCCATTTTTCAAACGCCTAAAGAAAATAACAGATTAATTAGCCATCTTATCCCTCATCTCTGTGTCAACACTCTTTTCATTTATTCAGAATTATTATTTGTATTTCTATACTTTCAAATTTTGGAATATTTACTTGCTGCATTGCTCAGGAGGAGATCTCACTTTATCTAAGATGAGTAAATTATTTTCCCAGTAAGTCTTAACTCTTTGCCTATGTATATATATATGGAGTTCATTTTATGTTCAGCTGACAGAACATAAATACAAAAAAAGCCTGTTTGCATATTAATGTTATACAGCAAAAAAGACAGAACTGCTTTGGGAAGGGACCTTAAAGATCATCTAGTTCCAACCCCCAAATGAAGCAGTTTCTACTCCAGCACCCATCTCCGATGTCTAAGAGGACGCGCTGCCTCTGAATCCTCAGAGTACGGAAACCACCACCTCAGGGCTGCAGGGACCTTCTGAAGCAGCTGCATATTTTCAACAGGACAGAATCTCACAGTGCCCTGTTCAACTAACCATGTTCAGACTTTGGAATCCCCTTCATTCCCATCTCCTGCTGGATTAACCAAGTTATCCTCAACAATTCCCTAAACCACAGCTCATATACATTTATCTACACACTTCACATTACCTTCTGTGCTGCTTCTGCTCTCTCTGCATTCTGTTCTGCTGCTTCCTTTTCCTTAAGTTTCTCAAGCTTCTTTTCTTCATTCAACTTCTTTGCTTCTCTTGCTTTCATTGCTTTCCAGGATTTAAAAGATGCATCTGCTTCCTCTCTTTTAATGGCTTCTTTCTAGATCAAAAAATACCATTCTCAATTTAAGTGCATTTGAATATAAAATACAACTGTAATTGAAAACACTTGCTTTGAATTGATTCTCATATACGGATTAATATAATAGAGAAATGGAAATAGATTTGTAGAAAACACTCCAAATGAAGTATGAACTATACACTTCTATGCTCATTTTAAACTTAATATACTCAAATTCATATCAACTTATATAAATTACTCCTGCAAAGTGTGTGGAAGAACATTAAATACATATTAAATGCTCAAAAGGAAAGCCTGCTTAATACTGGAAAAACAGATCCACGAGCTACACATTTAAAAGGTAGAAAAGTATTCCTTGAGCTACTGAGCAAACTGATTTTCCAACAGAAGATATGTTAGAACTTAACACTGGAATGGATGAGCATCCCGAGGCCTTTGTGAACAAGCTTGAAAATTAATCCAAGAACACTTCTAATGTAACTGGTGGGAAGCAGGTAAGTTTGCATGTTTCTGCAGGAAATCACTAGCCTTGTACTCTTATACCAATCACAATAACTAGGGCCTGCCACTTTGTTTCAACCCACTCTATTCTAGAGAAAACCAGTAACCTTATAATAGGAGAGTGATGTCATCTGCAGAAAGCACAGGTCAACACACTTTAAAAAAAGTGGTAGTTTGTCCACTTCACTTAAATTGAGAGTGTAAACAAACCTTTTCAGTATCATTCCTCAGCTCCTCAGCTTTTTTCTTTTCAGCTCTCTTTAATTCCAGTAGAAAGGCTCTTTTCTTTTCCATCCAGTTCTGTAAGAATCATTGGAAGGCATACATTTAGAAGTGTTTTTAAGCTGTAACTAAATAAGTTCCACATGCAACAACTGAATACTGTTAGAGCAGCACCAGTACAATGACCACTAAAATGACTCCCAGTTCTTCCGCTCGCTGCTGCACTAATTACTGCATGTGGAAAAAGTAAGCTGTGCTTCAAATCACACTGATCTAAGCACCATTGGCACACGTTTTTTTCGTGTTCAAAAATGTCTAAGAATCTACAGTAATAGCTACAACTACAGAAAAACCTTATGGACCTCTAAAATCTTTGAAAAATATAAAATGAAATTGTACTCAGGATATACAGATTACTGTTCCAGACAGAATGCCAGACGTGTTTTTACTTTTAAAGGAATCCTAAGCTACTTACTTTGGTCAAGAAAAAACAAAGGAAATCATCTCATGTATCTGAGAATAATCTGATATAACAGTAAATCATAAAGCACTGCATACCTTTCATTTAGTTTATTAGTTCATAATTTTTAGAAAACATGACCAACAGAAGAAATTATTATATATAAGCATATGCAAGTAACATCATTAGAAGGATTGACTTAACGAAAGTAAGCATTGCTGGATCCTCTAACTAGACTTTTATATGCATAGGTGTTTGTTTGTTTTTAAGATCTACCTGGAAAACAGCTGCTCGCAAACTATCTGCTCTGTCAAGTTCTGTATTGTTCTTCTGCAAGTGTTTATCCTCTAAAACCTTTAATGTTCCCAAATAGCGAGGTGGAACAGTTGCAGCTGATGGAACAGCTTTCACTTTTTCCTTTAAGTGTGCAGAAGGCAGAAACCTACAAAGACACAGACATTATTAAAGATCCTTCTATGTCTTGTAAATGATAGCAAGTAATGTTCTTTTTTTTCCCACCAGAAGTTACTGTGGCTGTAGCTGCACTTGTGTGGGGACAGGAAAAGAAGGAAGCCTGTTTGCTTTGGACAGCGTATTATTGACAAAACAATCTGTTAATCAACACATTCAGACCAACAGCTTTTACAAGCTTCTGATACTTTCACCTATTAAATTAAAAAGTGCTTAAAACCTGTCAAGATACCATGGGCTGAACTCACTGGTGAAGATATTAACACAAACTCATTATAGACACTGGCAAAAGACTTGGAGTCTAAGTTTAGCAAGAAGTACAATAACGTGCCTCATCTTCTCTCCACAGATGGCCAGAGGCTGTTAGCAATTAAAAAACTGTTGATAGAAGATGAGTGCAAAGTGATATTGTCACAGTACTTACAGATACCCTGTAACCTGTGATATGTAGTATAATCTCTTACTTGCAAGATGAGGATTTTGAGCTCTGTAGAACTGCTTTCGTTGTTCCACTTTGTTTCTAAGACACAAAAAGGGAAAATCGTAGTGTGTCAGGTAACAGAACTAGAGTATCATGACACAGATTTTGAAGGCCAACATGTTAAATATGTTAATATGCCAAATATATACACAAGAAAGCCACTCAAATATAGCACAGGTACAGCATGGGCTACAAAAGTTGTGTTTTTTTTTTAAAAAAGAAACAAAAACAAACACCTGACCAGAAGTCTATAGTTGAGAGACACGAAGGAATAAAAACAACCTGGCTGAGCAGTGGGTTTCCTTGCTACAACAGTAACTGTTTTCAATATTTAGCTTTAGCAGTTACATACATCCACACATTTTCTTTCTTACAGTAAGGCCTAAAGTGCTTTGTACCTTACTTGTTAATCAAGTCATGCAATGGATTCCATTCTCTGCCAACATATGCTGCTCACTTCAACTCAGAACAGAGATCTGACATGTTTACTTCAATAAGGTTATTAAACTCAGTCTTGAAAACACATATTTCACTAACTTTATCACTTTTAAACTAACAGTGCAAAAAGTGCTTCCTGCCCCTTCAGAAAGGTATTCCCTACATCTTCCTTAAAAATAAACATGATTTATGTGAGCCCTGGGTCCAGAAGTTTTACAAGCAGAGTTTTAAACACTAAAGGAACCAACAGTAAATTCATTTACAGAAGCTTTCACTGCATTTCTAGGACATTTTTCTGAACAACGGTAAAAATGCACACAAAAAATACCTGCCCAGAATCCTCTGAAGTGTTCTTCACCTCCCCACGGTTAGACTGACCATCCACTGGTAATTCTTGTATTGCAGCTGTTACTACTGGCTCCTGCACAATTCTCTCCTTGTATGAACTGTCATCTGCTGACCTCTCTAACTGTGTTCTCTCGTGTGCTGTGGTGGTCATTGCTACTATCAGAGCAGCAGGTTTCCTACTATTATCCTCCACTGACGGTTTCATGTCACTGTTAATATCTTTCTTCTCATCTAGAGGAAGTAAACAGATTAAGCGGACACATTCACTTAGACAACAACAAGAATTCTGTAGCACAGAAAGAACAATACTGAGAAGCTAAAAACATTTGTCTATGAAACTTATTACTAAATTTGATATTGGACAACTTATTTTCTTTATATGTGCTCATAAGAACAATATGGACTAATGACAACAGTATTCATTTACACTGAAATGTACGATTGGACTGGCAAGATAAAAGCTGTAGCAAATGTTATAGAATGTAAGAGAGTACAAGAACAGCCAAATTTCCCAATTTTCTCTCCACTCAATTACATTTCTAGTGCAGCAATCAAAAAATAAGAGCCATTTCAATCACATAAGAACTCTCCCGACATCTAATCAACTACCACTTTCATAGGCACAGTTCTACCAGACTTTGAAAACAGTTTCTAAATGCCTGGGACAATACTGGATTTAGACATAACTGCAAGAATAAGGCCAGGCCCTTCACAGAAGCAGAATACAAGGAGACAGGGGCAAGAGAGTAGAAAGGTAATTAAGAAAACTGCCAATTTTAAGACTTGTATTGGAATCTCAGATGATACTGAGGCATAAGCAATGACACCCATCTGGTTTTATGTACTTAAGTCCTACCTTTTTCAGGTGGTGCTTCTCCACACAGTATTGAATTGGAGTCTCCAGATCTCTCATTGTGGGGAGTAGAGGAAAATGATGGTGAAGTACTTTCTAGACGTGGGCCCTTAGATCAGAAAGTGGCAAATAAACAAGTGGGCAATTCATAACAATTAAGAACTATTTATCTCGAGTTCAAAACACACTGATAGAATGTTTCTTCAGAACTCTCTAAGTACTGGTACTGTCTTATATTCAGAGCAATCAAACCAATCAACAGAATTCTTAAAGCCTGCAAAATATCACAAAATCCTATTTCTTGTTAGAAAGAAAAATAATGATGTTCTCTTATTTGCCCTCACCACAAGAATACTACTGGCAAAGATTTTTCCCCACTCCTATTTTTGTTACAGAACATTTTGATAGTGAAATGAAAGTTACTATCAAAAGCTTCCAATGTAAATTGTAGAAATAAGATAAGCACGTACATTCTCCCTTTGCACTCTTACTTCAGGACCAGAGCTTGTGGCAAGCACTGCTTTATTGCGTGAGGCTCTGGCTCAGAGTAGCTACAGGCAGTGGCGTCCAAAACGAAGACAACACATTTCTAGGAGTTATTTTTCTTTCTGACCTACTAAGCTCAGTGTCTTTCACTTGACCAACTTTTGCTCAGTGTCTTTCACGCGACCAACTTTTCCCAGTACACTTCCTGGTTGAGCTGATGTTTTATAACAGCCGCCTAGCAAAGGAACGTTGACATTGTGAGATGAAAATGAGTACTATGGTTGAACTTGCATCTAACTAAATGCATGTTTGTTTGGATTGTTTTGTGAAGATAGATTCAATAGATTTTCAGTTAAGTCAGCTATTTAAATAATTGTACACTCTATCTTGGGGGGCAAATACAAACAGCTATATGAACTTATTTGCATTCTTTGAGGAAGTTTAAGGGAAGTTTCTATAAGCAGACGATCTAGAAATTTTGTTTTTCCGTTTACTGTTATCTCTGTGCGTATGTTGAATCTACATGTAAGAACCCATCTAAGACAGAATTATTCCCATAGCCATAAATTAGAGCATTTATCTCAAACGGCACTGTTACAACAAAACCCTTCTGTCTTGCTTAACTCCCTGTGTCTACAAGAGAAGACACGAAGGGAAGATTGCACCGCACAGTGCAGAACAGAAAAACCCCAGGTGGGAGACGGCACGAGAAACGCCATCAGAGGAGCGCTGCAGTGATGCTCCCGTTCCTCCCCTTGCGCACCCCCAGCTTTGGTTTCTTTTCCTTCCCGTGCCGCGACACTTGTGCCTCTTTTAATACGAGAGCATCAGCTGCTTCTTGTCGCAGTTCCGAAACAGTTTTGCAGATGACTTTCCCGCAGAAGACTCACTGCCAACTCAGCGCTCGCCCCCTCCGCACCCCGCCGCCGGCTCACCTCCGCCGAGGCGCCGTCCCGCGACATGGCGGCTGCCGCCCGCCCCTTCCGCTGCGCTCTGTGAGCAGACAAAGGTGGCGGGGCGGCGGAGGGTTGGAGGCGCGTCCTGCCGGAGGAAGCTCCAGTAGGGCACGAGTAGAACGTCAAGGCAATAAGGAAGAAGTCGCCGCGTTCCTTCTCTGTGGCAGCGTCACAGCGACTGCTGCTGCAAGGCAAAACTCTCTCATCTCCTCCTCTCATCTGAGGGACTCATTTTATTGCACTCCAGAAGGTGGCAGCAAAATGTTTTAAGACAAAATAACCTGGTTTATTTGTGATGCGTCCACTTGGATTATTTGAAGTTCTTCTGTCTTAACAATGATGCTCGTGGCACTTTTAGAAAGACACTGCATTCATTTAAAACAGTTTTCCAGCTTTGCATGCTCTATATAGAAGGGATTATCTTATTTATGTTTTTGTCAGAACACATGAGAATCAGGGCTACATCTGACAGTCTTAGCTCAGACAGAACAGCATAGGGAGTGTATAAACAGGAGGGGGAATGGCTGTTTATGAGGGTGGATGGTGATAAGACAAGGGGGAATGGTTTTAAAGTGAGATAGGGGAGGTTTAGGTTGGATATTAGGAGGAAGTTTTTCACCCAGAGGGTGGTGAGGCACTGGAACAGGTTGCCCAAGGAGGCTGTGGATGCCCCATCCCTGCAGGCATTCAAGGCCAGGCTGGAGGTGGCTCTGGGCAGCCTGGTCTGATGGTTGGTGACCTGCACACAGCAGGGGGTTGGAACTGGATGAGCATTGTGCTCCTTTGCAACCCAGGCCATTCTGTGATTCTATGATAAGGTCCCACTGACACCCACTGAGATGAATGGAGTTTATTCTAATTGAGACCGCAAGCTTCTGATGTAACTACAAGGGTTCTTGAGAGTCCACTTAAATAGTCTGACAGCTTACTGGGATCAACAAGAATAAGATTTTATGGCCTGAAAGTGATCATTACATCTGTGTCGATTTTTTCTTGATTAATAACTGCTCAATATATCACAAATATGAAGTTATCAAAAAGATGTACACTGGAAGGTGAAGATGCTCTTTTTCTCCCACATACACGAGGAGCATGGAGAACAGCACTTTGAGTAAATCCAGCAATTACACTGATTCAGCTAAAATAAACGTAGACTATTTAATTCTGTTGCCCAAATGTAGGTTAGTAAGCAAGATTATACAGTGACAAGCACCACGCTGTCTCCTCTTGCTTCATATGACATCACCTATTACAATGTGCCATATTTTGAAAAGCTATGCCTGTCTTGCCAAAATACACCATCCTTTTTCTGATTGTCTGAAAATAAAATCAGAAATACAATCAGTTGTACCTTAAGCCTGCAGGGATAGGTCTGCTGGAGAAGATCTGCAAGTCATCCAGATCAGGCAAGGCTGAGCTGGGTTTGACCTTTGTTGCCTCAGGTGGTGAGAGCAGAGTTATCATGTTGGGAAAGCATTCCGCACCAGCAGAGCTCAGGAAAGCCTCTAAAGATTCGTAAGTGAGTTGTAAACTGCAATGCATGCTGTCTCAGGAACTCTGAGGCCCAGATGTACCCAAAACCAGCTTTAAACAGCTCTGGAGTAACTGCAAAAGCAGCCAGTGCAGCAGGGAAATGAACAACAGCACTTCAGCCTTTTGTTCTCCTCACCATAACTATTTTGAGTCTCTCATCGCCAATCCAACAGGAGGGTATTGGACAACTCACCTTAATTAACTCCTATTGGCAGTTATGAAGACCTAAAGCAGAAAAAAGTGAGAAACTTTTGTCTTTTCCCCAAACTGTCAATGCTAATGTATTTTTCCCCATCTTTTCTTTTGCATTTGTACAAATATACTATTTAATTATGCAATGGAAATGAAATATTCATTACTTTATGGTAAAACCTTATTTCAGTGTAAAAATATACTCTTTCTTAAAACAAACTGTCATTTTTCACAGATTTACACAGCAGCTTCATCCCACTACATAGATAAAAGCAATTGAATTCCAGTAGACTACAAAATACTTCATTTTTAATCACACCTGGGACCAACTGAAAGAAGAGCTGTCACACTGAAACTTTAGCTTAAAATTTGGCTTGACCTTTTCTTCATTATTCATTCCCATAGAAAGTTCAATGATACGAAAACAAAATGTTTCATTTTTCTTACTGGAACTGCATTCAATGGCTTCCCACCTTGTTTCCAAAAGAGAAAAGCTAAGTTTGTAATGCACTGTTAATTGATAGACCATAGTAACATCCATAACATGTGCTGTAGGTAGGAATTCAACATTGTTATTTGCATAAATTCATCCTCTCACTTTCACATCTTGATCCTGAATTGCAAGTAGCTTAAGAAGATCCAGGCAGGATAAGAAAGTATGGCAGGTTCACTTGGCTGCTTATTGCCCTCAGGAATATTATCTTCAAACTTTGATTTGATAAATTGTATGTGTCTGCAAAACTGGAGCAAAGGAGAAGTGGTTAAAAGAAATAAATAGAGGTGGTAAAAAGTTAATGTAGATAGTAGTATATAGAGGAAGGTATATTCTTGACTGGTTAATTTAGGCCTGAGCATTTGACTTAGAAGCAGCAGGTGGAGGTAGATATCAAGGGAAAAAGAAAGCTATTTTAAGCTTAATTTTTTGGCTTGCCTTTTGTGTGTGTATGTGATGGTACTTGATGTGATTTTAAGGAAATGCAAATGGAGCACAGAGAAATGAAGAAGTGAGACACAGTTGTTTGTTGGGCTTGGTCATGGTAACAGACAGTGAACTTTTCAAACAGACAGAGCTCGAATGTGTTAGTGATGGCAGATTACACTTCCTGCTAAGGGGAGTCAGAAAATGTGAATCTTTTCATGTCAAGTGGAGTCATTTTGTGTGCAAATGACTCAAGCTACTGCTATCTGCTGTAAATTCTGCATTTAAAGTCTTGCAGATGTGCTCTGGTTAAATAAACATCTTTGATAGAAAGCTCACAGACTACATGTGAAACTACAGTTTCACTAAACATCTCTCACTTGAAGCATCTCTACGCATTAAATGCTGACAGAAAAACCCAACAGCTGTTAAGTGCCGAGGAGCAGCTCAGGCCTTTTCTGTTATGGCAGATTTCACTGCAACAGGAAGAAGACCTGTCATATTATCACCTGCACATTTGAGAAGTGTCAGGACTTCAGCTGTTCCCACCCTCAGGCTCACTAGACCTTGGATTAAAGGCTTGGACCATGTCCTGCAGCCTTGCAGACCCAAGGAATAAGAAGTCTGATATCATTAAAATTAATCAGAGATAAGAGATGCAGTAAAAGGCCAAATTAAATTGCTCTGTGGTCAGAAGGATTGACTGACTAATTCCCATTGACAATGATAATGTCTGCTTATGCTTTTTATGTCTATCATTCTCTCTGGTTGCCTTTTAGCTTTCAGTGCTAATATGGTTCAGTAGAACAGGAAGATTTAAAGGAAAGTAATGCTGCCAGGTCTGACTGCAACCATTCCTTGCATACAGCGCAAGCAGCTTGAGAAAGTAAGGTTATATAATGGCTCTAGTTGAGTAAGTGTAGCAAAACTAAGGCCCATCAAGAGCCCATATGACACCTCTTTACTCCTTAAACTTGTAATTGATGCAGGGGAACAACTTTTTATCTTTGGAATGTCATGATCTGGATTCTATGATTTGGAATGTCTGTCACTATACTTATATAAACCTCACTGGTTTTCAGGTGAGTTGTATGCCCTGTCCCTGGAGACTTTCAAGGTGAGAGTGGATAAGGCCCTGGGCAGCATGATGTGGTGCCCCTGTTCCCTGCAGGGGAGTTGGACTACATGGCCCTCAGAGGTCCTTCCAACTCTAAAATTCCATCATTCTATCATTAGATCTCTCTGCTACACTGCTGAGAGAAGGAATTATTCTCATTTTAAAGATGTAAGATAAGACCCAGGAGCTACGCCAGCAACCCAAAGGCATGCAAAAATTCTACAGTATTGTAATTTTGGAAGGTTTCTAAGACTTCTATTTTTCACAGTTATGCCCTTGATCAGTGAAGAAAATTCAGACATCATAGGTGATGATGTCTTGTACCTACCAGAGGCAGAGATACACAAGAAGCAGAAGGATCTATGGATCTGAAGATGTTTCAGTGCTTGATATAAGGCTTTAAACAGCCTTCTTTTGTGTGGTTTCTTTTTTTTACATTAATTTGTTTGTTTCATATGTTCATTTAGTTTTATTAGTAGTAGCAAAGGAGATGTTGAATGGCATCTTTTCTGCACATGCTCCAGACATCTGCACCTTTAAAAGATTGCTGTTCGAAGGAAGGGCAGTCCTTCACACAGTCTTTCCCCTTTGTAGGCCAGCCAACGCACACACACACACTGGTCACATCTGGGACTGCAGGCTGAGCCCTGAAGCACTAATGCCAGAGACCTGCAAAATATAAGCTCCCAGTTCTGTGTAGTTCCTATGGAGACCACGCTACTTTATATTTTTCTCACAGATCAAGGATTATATTGACTTCCCCTATATTAATATCGTTGTGTACTTTTATTTCTTCGTCATTGCTACGAGGGTTATGGAAAGAACATTTCATTCAGACATGTTGAAGGAAAGCGTTGATTATCCCTAGCAGTTGGAGTCAAATAGTCCAAGTTACTAATCTGGAACATTAAATTAAACTCTGTATTTGCAAAAGAAGCTTAACAGTTCATCTTTTCTTGTTCTCCATGTTTCCTTCCTTCCGTCTGGTGAGTTTATAGCCCCTGTAACTGACTTGAAATGGTGCAGCTGCTAAGATTATTTAGCTTCAGTTTAATATCAGATGTCCTCAGTACAAATCCGCACTTCAAGTGAGCTTTTTTTCTGTTCCCTATTTCTTTTTCCATTTGGTCTGTCCTCAGTTTGGGGGATTATCAAAAGACTGGTCGAGTCTCCCTGCCAGGCTTCTTCCAGCTGCTCTGCCAGAGCAGAAAGCAGAAATCAGGAAGATTGTGGCAGGGCCATGTGGCAGGGAGCTCTGGGAGCCAGGCCTCTCACCACAGCCTGGAGAGCACAAGGGAATAGGGCAGATAGGCTCCCTCCTTGGTGCAGGGGGGAGCTGGGCCACTGGTAGCAGGCAGGGCACAGCAAAGGGCTGTGGAAGAGATAGAGGAGCTCTTTGTGCTGGAGTATTTCAGACTGTGAACTCCTCAAGAAAGAGGTGATGCCTCCTCTGAGTAC